TTCAAAAGCGAAGAATAAAGGAAAAAGATGTGCAGGTTTTAAAAATTGGCCTCGATGGAGGAGGTGGCTTTTTTAAAATATGTTTAAATATCCAGACGAAAGAAGTGGCCAGTCGTGTTAGCCTAAAAGATTCCGGGGTCAAAACAATTGAGGCGTTTCTCGGAAAAACATCATTAGTCCAAAATCGTCGAAATTTAGATATTAGCACCAACTGTTTCCTAACCTCCATATATACGTATACAAATAAGTGTTTCTCGTAAAAATGTCATAGGTTCCATAATAATTAAATATGAAATTTAGCTTGTTCTTCTAAAAACATCACAAGTCCACTCCGTTTCGTCTAAGAAAGTCACATGTGCATAACATGTGACTTTCTGCATACGATCTGCCAATACCAATTAAGAAAACAAACACTCTAGAAAAGCTTCTACCTCTTTTACATGACCACAGCAATAGAAAATTTTATGATAACTTGATAAAAGACCAGAAGACCATAGCACCTGACAGTCCTGATAACACGGTCGACAACGATGATAACAGCAGTGGATGCGAAGACTGAGTGTGGCAGTAATACAGTTTTTAGTTTTTTCATTTATTTTGTTACTCAGAGTTAATATTAAGTTTGTAGTAAGGACAATTGTTCGTTTTTTTCTTCTAAAAACCTCACATGTTCATGTATTTTTTGTGTTTTTTTCATATTTGTTTGAAAAAAAAAACATGAGGAATTCTGGACAAAGTATCTTAAATTTTTTTACATATAGTGAATAGGTCAAAATTAGTATATTACACTACAAGGGCAGAAAGTGTGAGATTCCTGCACTGCGCGCCATGATGCCCGAGGCGAAGCCGAGGGCATCATGGCGCGCAGTTCAGGACTCTCACACTTTCTGCCCGTGTAGTGTATACTATTTTTCTTGCTACCCCGCAGAAAATACGGGAAAAAATTAAATGTATATAAAAAAACTTCTGTCAAAATTAAAATCTGACGTTTAATTTAATTCTGACGTTTACATTCAAAATCAATCAAACTGTAGCGTTGTCATGGTAATTCAGCGGTGCCAATACAGTAAAAATAAAAGGTTGTATTTTAATTAACAAATTACTACTTTATAACAAATAAAAGTACCATTAAACACTTAAAACAACATAAAAAGTAAAAAAGTAAAAACATAAATTGTTTATTTGTTGTTATAATTGCAAAATTATGGTTTAAAACTGTCATATTTTTGTGTTTCTCATGTTGGCAGTACGAAATTTGAATGTTAAGCACACGACTAAAAAATTTTTAGGAGTTCGATTTTATCCTTCATCGTGTGTACATCGCTCCATGAAAAAGTCTGAAAATAGTTGACTTTGACCCAGGAAGGATAAAATGGGGTTCCCGGTATAGAAATATACCAGTATTTCTGGACAATATCGCAAGCTTTGTCCTTTCAGCGAGGAATTTTGTGATTTGTGCATTTGATGTAGTGGATGTTTCAAGATTTGAAATTCCACATGTCCGTGAGTGGATGGCTTCGAGAAGCTCAAGGACGTTAAAACTTGTAACTGGGCAGTAAGAGCCTAATTGGCTCAAGTCCAATTCTCTCGAAAGAGAGAATAACAATTATTGAAGAAGAAGAAGAAAAAATTTTTACTCCCGCTATTAGAGTGTGCGCGTATAGCTTGACCAATGCAAGAAACGTAAACTTTCTGCCGTGGAATCGGGGACGAAAGAACGTATTTTGAGTCGAGGTAGTAAGAAAAAGTACTTTGGTCAAAAATGGGAATGTCGGAGAGTTTTTTTCATTTTCCCAAATATGTTAATTTTGGACTAATGATGTTTTTCCGAGAAACGCGTCAATTTTTATATTGGCTATTGTTAAAAATATTAAAGAAAATCATTTTAATGTGTCATATATTTGAAATCTTTTAAAACTTGATGTACTGGAAAAATATAGTATTTCAACGGATCTAAAATTGGCAAATATTTTAATGGGCATTATGTCGCACAGATCCTCTTTTCCCTGTACATGGTGCCAAGCAAAAAAGCAAAATTTAAACAACGAAGGAGAACTACGTACTTTCACAAACATTCGAGATCATTATTTAAGCTGAACTAAAAATGGAAGTGACCCGAAGAAATCCAAGCATTTTTTTAATTACATCCATGAACCCATTCCTCAAAAATTGAGCGAACCTATGATCCTATTAATACCGCCACCTGAACTGCATTTGCTCTTGGGTAATGACTTTTTATCGTACGTACCTTTTCATTTTATTTTATTTAACACGTTATGTTATTTTAACTAGGTGCTGTAAATACCTTATACACCACCCTGCTTAAAATACCCCATAGAGACCCTGTTCAAACCGATAGATATTTGTATCGGGATGTATGGTGTTTCTATAGGGTGTATCGGTTTGTATAGGACCCGTAGTTGAGATTTATGGTTGTTCTATAGGGATATCCACCATTGATTTATTTGCTATCGGTTTCAATGGGGAAAATACACATAAATGTAGAAATTAGTTTTTTCCCTATAGGACCCTATAGGTTTTAATAAAATTTTGTCAAATGTTTTATGGTTGCTCTATAGGGATATCCCTATATATCCTTCATTGAGTTATTTTCTATCGGTCTCAATAGGGAAAATGTAAAAGTTATGGTGTGCCAATAGGTAATTTCCTATACATTTTCTATCGGGCTGTATCCGGAAAAACCCATGGACAAATGCACATATAGAATCCGGTAGCGCCCGATAGATTATTTTGTATAGGTCTCTATGGGGTATTTTAAGCAGGGCAACCTATTAAAAGCAGCTCCAGAGGTATGCAATCAGTGGACAACTCTTTGTCATGTTCAAACGGAGGCCATGTATGGGGGTCGTTTACAGGAAACTCATGTAAAAAATTATTGAAAATCTACCAATAAATTTGCTGCCATATGCCTTAAAGCTTTCAACGATGTGACGAAAAGTACTTTTAGCGTCACCTTAGATCCAAATTATAAAGAACAAATAAATAGGTTTAAGTCTTCATTTCTTGAATTGGGAATTAAAACAACGCCAAAAATAAATGCAGTATTTTTTCACGTTCAAGAAATCTGTGAAAAAACAAATTTGGGCTTTGGCTTTTATAGCGAACAGGAGAGCGAAGCAGTTCATTCTGATTTTGCGGTATTATGAACAGGTTCAAGGTAAACGACAGCCATCCGATATTTTCAAAAAAGTTACTTCAGCTGTTACTTTTTACAATAGCAGTCATATTTAAATTACTAATAATAATATGTTTATAAAGTTTGTAACTAGGAAGGAGTAAAATAAACCTTATAAGGTATATATTTAGTTCTTCAGTTTTTATGCATTTTCCTTTTTTGTTAATAAAAGCAAAAGTAATCGTTAAAATATTTTTGTGTTGGGGTGTTTCAGTACAAAAATGACCAAAATATATATAAATAACAAAATTACAATTTTTAAGGTAATTTTTGTTTTTTGGCGAACCTAAATATTCCCAAACATATGTTACTTATATGAAAAATAAATTATATTTTTGATATAAGTTACCCAGCGTGTCTCATATGTTACGGAGTACAGTTCTTTTGATTTATACATGTAATTTTTATTTTAAAATAACACAAAATAGCACAAAAGCTGTAAAATAATCTATTACCTATATTTTAGAGTGTAAAACTAAGATTTTTTTTAAATAATCTATTTTGGCGTTTTTAGAAACATACGTGACAATCACATAAATTACTAGTATTCCTTTTTTCTCAAAAAAAAAACAACAAAAATATGAAAAGTGTACGGCTCGCATTAGTAATTATTTAAGTAGGGTCTAATACTAAGTACATTACTATAAATTATGACTGTTTATAAAAAATAAATTTAAAATAATTTCCTCTTAAAATTGCGATTTAAGGCGGAATTACCCTATAAACAATAATATAAAAGTTTAATATGATTATTAAGAATTGTACTTGGCTGTGTACATCCATTAAAAGACTGCAAAGAACTAATTAAAGTTACATTTTTGTTAAGAATAAACCTTATGCCAAATAAATAAATAAGTTTGACATCCAAAAATTTTGCTTATGATTTCATAAACCTGAAGTGTATCTATATCATCATTCCGTGAACACCGAATCATTTCCGGGAACATAACAAAAATCACAGATAACAAATTATAATTTTAGATATTAAAAAAGGCCCATTAAAACAGGCGGACTCTTTATACCTAGAGCTAATTTATTTATATGTAAGTCAGCGATATTGTCATATTTAGATAATATAATCTAAAAAAATAGTCCTATAGCTTTATTAGTAGCGATATTTTGTTTTTTAATTTCTTATTATTAACTACATACTTCCGCTATTGTAAAGGGTAAAAAAGAAATACTAAGTTATATTTTAATTTTATTATAAACCTCACGAAAACGTTCCCGGAATGGTTGTTTTAGCGATAGTTCACTTTAAAAATAAAATTACAAGAGTAGCAATTAATTCTATGCTCTACCAACGTAAACATTGTTTAAACACAAGTTTAGTGATCATTTAAGCTAATTATAAAAGTAATAACTGCTAGGTATATGCATCATATAACATAATTTGAAATTTGCCACTTTGGTGATTTTGACCCTTATACTTAATATACAATTAAAATACGCAACCGAGTTTTTTTATTATACAAGTTATGTCTAGCTATAAAAACATATTAGCATATTATGCCCTGTTTCAAAAAAGATATGTTTGGCTAAAATATATGCCGACTTTAAGGACAAAATGTCCGGCCTAATATAGTGCCTAGTCAGGCTCTTGTATTTTAGGGCCTGGCAACCCTGACTGGGTTACACTTTACATTGTTTGTATAAGTCTAAATTCTTTCGCTTTTATTATCTGTCCATTATTTAGATCTATACACCTTGCATAGTCGACACCTGAAAGTCCATTTGCAATTTAATAAACTTATGCAAAAGTCCTTTAAAATATAAATTTGATATAATTAGATATTTTTTTTAGCTACAACAACCAATTAATATAGCTGCAAACATTCAAGCTCTGGCTAAAAGTGTTCACGGAGATGCTGTTTTTGGAGATTTGCCAAGACCTAGATTTAGTATGCAGTATTAAGTGTGATGCTGATAAATCTTATTGTCAACCAAATGGTTTTTTATATGACATGCTTTAGATTTTAGGTATAATGATTTGTAACACAATACATATAAAAAATAAAATTATAGTATTTCTATTTTTTGTTTTCACTTCTTTAATACTAATAATAAAAATAAACAAATTATCAGAGAATATGTTGTGCAAATCCAATCTTTTCTGGTAAATATAGGTTGTGGTTTTTTAAATGATGAGTTCTTTTTATGTTTGATACGATCTAGGGTAATGTTTTTCCTAATGTCTCTTGGCGCAGGGGTATCTCGTTTGGAGCAAAGAAGACTACAATACTGAAGTTAGGAATCCGGACCTTCTACTCGCCTCCATACAACCAAACATGCCATGCGATGACCAAAAAGTGAACGAAATGGCACTTCACCAAGAGACATTAGGAAAAACATTACCCCAGATCTTATCAAACATAAAAAGGACTCATTTCAAAAACCACAACCTATATTCACCAGAAAAGATTGGATTTGCACAACATATTTTCTGATACCTTTATAAAATAAAATTTTTAAGAGTAGCTTGGTAATAAAATAAGTTCATCATAGATAAATTAATTGAAAACTTTAAATATCGAAATGGCAAACCCGCCAGCATTCGAAACACAGCATCTTAAAGCTGTTCCCGAATTTGATGGGGAAACCCACGGTTTAAGTCGCTACATAAATAGTTTACAATTTTTACAATAACGCTAACCTTAATTGTTACCAAAATAAATTACTCTTAAGTTGCCTTACAGAAAAACTTAAAGGTAACGCTAGAATTGTAGTAGAAACCCAGCCATGTGAAACATGGTTGCAATTAAAAGATATCTTGGTTAGGAATTTTTCAGACTTTAGAAATGCAGAAAACCTAATCATAGATCTAACCAATATGAGACAGAAGTCGAATTAATCGTCACAGCTCTTACGAGCCTTGTTTGGCACAACTTGTCTATATGAACAACAGGGCCACGCTTCACGAGATCCCTGCCATTCGTCAAATCAAAATTACCCAATATACAAGCCTAACGTTAAGTATCTTTTTAAACGTCTTATTGGAACCCTTAAGGACCAATATTCTAAACATGAGGCGTGCCACTTAGGTAGATGCCATCCAATTTATCAGAGAAAGAGAAAATAACAATGCAATCTTTAATAAACATAGAAACTTCCCCAATAATAATAATAATAAACAAAATAATTCCAATAAAAGACAACATGTTGCTCAACCAAAATTTTTCAATAATACACATTTTAATAATAAAAACAACCATAATTCACAATTTAGAAACTTTTCCAATAATAAAAATAATAATTACCAACCCCATAGATTCCAACAAAATCAACAATTTTCTAGGCCCCTAAATCAGAAACCCGATGAAACAAATGTTTTTGTCCCAAAACATTTAGTTTAACCACCTACCCTTATGAGCATATGCTAATATTAGTACACGCAACATATTTAATCAGTCCAACAAAAATACAAATAGACATTTTAATACTAAATATAGACCAAACAATCGAAATTGGGCCGCAGAAGAACTCTTTACTTGTGAAAATGAAGATCAACCCCAAAATGATGACAATTACACAGACAATGACGACTACCAAATTGACTCCTCCGACTATGACCAATTTTTAGAACTCCCTACGGATTTTCCCGATCCGACGGAATCAGAAAACCTAACGTAATAGAATTTCATAATGTTACATGTCACATTAAATTACCCTTCATAATTATCCCAGATTTAAATATTAAATTATTAATTGATTCAGGGTCATCAAACTCATTTTTAAAACCTTCCTTGGCATCAAAATATTTTTCAAAATTCATAAAAAAGGACTATTGTTATAACTTCATTACACCAAAATAATACTATTCCCCATTCTATAATTCCCGCTTTTTCCATATATGATGTTCCCTATCCCCTTTGTTTTAATTGCCATTAAATATATGCGTTCTAGAAAACCACCTATTTGTTCGATCACAATATCCCATAGAGTCAAAACGATTGTAAAAACTCCGGTTTCTATGTATATCAAATCATTCCGTATCAAAAACTTAATGGGTGCGAAATTCCCGAATCTCTCACAACATCTAAAGATAACTTTGCGTTAACTTCAATAATTAATTGGCTTAAGCCAACCGAAACTCCAGTAGTTAGAACTTTTACCGATCCAATTAAAGTTTTAAAATATGACGATAAAAATACTTTTGAATGTTTTATATAAAGAAATATAACTTGGTACGAAATAAGAAGAATGTTAAAAAACCTAAATTTTCTTTGTTAAGAACCGAACATTTAAATCCGGAAGAACATAATGCCTTATTAAATTTAATAAAAGATTACTCAGACACATTTTACACTGACTAACAAAACTTGACATTTACGAATCAAATCAAACACTCTATTCGCCATAGGCGCAGTGCTTTCACAAGGTACCGTCCCTAATGAATCCGAAAAAAATTACATGACGATAGAAAAGGAACTTTTGGCTGTAGTGTGGGCTACCAAATACTTTAGACCATACCTATACGGGCGTAAATTCACTATATATACTGACCATGGTCGCGACCATTAGAGTGGCTGTTTTCACTAAAAGAACCAAATTCTAAATTAGTAAGATGGAGGTTAAAGCTTGAAGAATATGACTATAACATAACTTATAAAAAAGGAAAATTAAATCAAAATGCTGACTGCTTATCCCGTGTTGAAATCCATACTAAAGACACTTTGACTACCCTGCTGAAAATGACGGATGATTGCGGATATAAATTCTTCCTCAAAACCGGATAAAAGCAGATAATTGCGGGTATAAATTCTTCGTCGAAGCCAGATAAAAGCAGATAAAAGCGGGTAAAAATATCATCTGATAACATCTGCTTTTATCCGCATCGCTATATCCGCGAACACCCGGTTGGTTGTGTTTTATGTCCGGTTAGTGCACCCCCGCAATCATCTGTTTTTAAGCGTCTTCACTGTGTTTCGTTTATATCTGAATTTGTCCGGAATCATCTGCAAACGTCTGCTTACGTCTGGTTATATCCGCGATTACCTGCATTTTTTTTCGTCTATTTTTGTCGGGTTTTATCCGCGAGTATATGCTTTTACCCGCAAACGTCTGCCTAGTCCAATTTCACCCGCCAACATATGCTTTTATCCGCCAACATCTGCTTTTATCCGCCACCATCTGCTTTCATCCGCGAACATCTTCAATCACCCGCGAACAACTGCTTTTTTCCGCGAACATCTGCAATCACTCGCGAACATCTGCTTTTACCCGCAAACGTCTGCTTTCATACGGTTTCACCCGCAAACATGCTTTTATCTGCGAACGCCTGATTTTAGAAGAATTTCAAAATTTGTACGGTGCAGCTAATATGTCTTTCAATATTCACTTATTGAGCCATTTGGGAAAGTGTGTAAGACGTTTGGGCCCATTGTGGACCTTTTCCCTTTGAGGGAAAAATTGGACAACTAAAAATCTTTTTAACTGGGCCTAAATATGTCCAATAACAAATTGCCAAAAAGTATTTAAAAACTTTAAGCCTGCCACTCATATTAAAAAAAAAATAATTGCGTTGAATCAATTTTAGAGTACCTACTACGAGGATTTAAAAAAAAAATTAATGCCAACTGAAATTATTTTTCCATTGGGAAAATTTCGTGTTGAAAATAATTTAATTATATTCACCAGATTTAAATTTAAATAATTTAAATCAGGTATACTATAGTGAAGAGTACCACAGAAATAAGTCTATTAATTCTTACATAATATGTAAGAATTAATAGACTTATTTCTGTGTATGTATGTATTAAAAATATTGGTTATGCCAAATTTAAAAAGTTTATAAAGTTAGATGAAAAATTCTACGCCGAAATAAGTGTTTTTCAAACAAATTCCATACAAATTGAAAATGTTATAATTCCAAATGTATTTTAAATTTAAATGTTTTCTAACAATTAATTTAAATGTAAGCTTAATGATTAAAAAATGTCTATTTATGTCTTTTAACAAAGACCTTATTTGTATTTTACCAAATAATATTGAAGTTCAATAAACTTATTTCCTTTACAGGTTGTTTTTATTCAAATAATTCCTTAGAGTTATAAAGTTGTGTGCCGTGAACCGTTCACGGCACACAACTTTATAACTCTTCACGGTGAACGGCTAACAACCAGTTAGTTAAAGGGCAGTAAAATTTGACAAAGCAGGTAAACTAAAGTATACACGAGAAAAAGGAAAACAAAAAGCGCGAATGCAGATGTTTGCGTACGAAAAAGGACCGAAATAGACAAAGGAAATGCAGGCAAACCGAACGCGGATGAAAGCAGAGGTTTGCAATTAAAAGCAGATGTTCGCGGATAAAAGCAGATGTTTGCGGATAAAAGCAGATGTTTTCTGATAAAAGCAGATGTTTGCGGATAAAAGCAGATGTTTGCGGATAAAATCAGATGTTTGCGGATAAAAGCATATGCTTGCGGATAAAATCAGATGTTTGTGGATAAAAGCAGATGTTTGCCGATAAAAGCAGATGTTTGCCGATAAAATCAGATGTTTGCGGATAAAATCAGATGTTTGCGGATAAAAGCATATGTTTGCGGATAAAATCAGATGTTTGCGGATAAAAGCAGATGTTTGCCGATAAAATCAGATGTTTGCGGATAAAATCAGATGTTTGCGGATAAAAGCATATGTTTGCGGATAAAATCAGATGTTTGCGGATAAAATCAGATGTTTGCAGATAAAAGCAGATGTTTGCGGGTAAAAGAAGATGTTTGCGTATAAAATCGGATGTTTGCGGATAAAAGCATATGTTTGCGTATAAAAGTAGATGTTGGCGGATAAAAGCATATGTTTGCAGATGAAAACAGATGTTTGGGGATAAAATGAGATGTTTGCGGATAAAAGCAAATGTTTGTGGATGAAAGCAGATGTTCGCGGATAAAAGCAGATGTTTATGGATAAATTCAGATGTTTGCGGATAACATCAGATGTTTGCGGATAAAAGCAGATGTTTGCGGATAAAAGCAGATGTTTGCAGATTAAAATAGATGTTTGCGGATAAAAGCAG